AGAGTAATTAAATTGCCCGAGAACACACAGATCTAGTATGGAGCCAAGCAGGAATTTAAACAATTGTTTTAACTCCATACACTTTCCTTTACCCAAGACATCTCACCCTCCAAATTTCACAGATAAAATCTATCAACTTCAGTCAGATAATCATTTCATTCAACACATGTACTAAGTTGATTACTACATGTGAGGTACTTTTTCTACTGGGAAAAGAAACCCCTAAATCTCTACTTTGAAAAGATATAAATAAATTTTTGAAAACATTCAAACATTTTATACATTTCTTAGATATTTTGCCACACTTTACAGACTTACCAAAGTTAGTCTAGAATTGATTTCCCAGATAAATGGATGAAGGAAATATGTTTATAAATTTAAGTAATTCTTTAGGAAAGTTACAATAAGAACCAATTTTTCTAATTCTTTACCTCACTTGCCTCATTAAAAAGTTCAGATTTAAGTGACCCCAACTGAATGCTCTTAGAATTCAACTAAATATCAATCATCTAAGTGCCATGCTAGAAAGTGTACAGATCAACCAATGCTTTGAAGGAGGGCTGACTCAGCAGGTAGAGGGCTAGGTAGTGGAAAAAGACCTTAGGGCCTTTAAGCAGTTCAAGCAGAAGGCAACAGAAATACCACACATTTGTGGACTTTCCATCATGACTGTTTTCTAAATTGAAATATTAGGGAATCATGGTAGTAGGTAGATTTGTTCTGTGTTCTACCTTTAAGAAATCTAATTATGAATTGGAAAATATTATTTATTTTACAATGACATGGTCTTAGAGGGCAGACTTCTTTAGTGATCCAGTTTGTAAAGATGATTTTTGTATAACTGCCTAGATATTTTGAGGAACAGTGGAAAGAGGCTGAACTGGGTAAAGACCCCTTCAGGTTGCTTAATTGTGTCACTACCAACCAGAATGACTGTTTCAGTTTTCTCATCCTGAAATACTGTAATTACCAATTCAAAAATGACACAAGTCTATGTATCTACTGTTAAAAGGTTTTCACGACCCTTGTTAAAGATGGTAAGGCAGACTTGAAGGGTGGTCATGGTATGGAAATGGCTGCAATGGGTCTTGCCATGGGAGAAAAAGGTAGGACACAACTCTGACTCCAGTAAGTTCACATGGTGATTTACAGTCAAGCAGTGGCATGAGAGTCAGTGGACGGGAATTGCTAAGAGGAAACATCAGGGCTGAGGGGCTCTGAATAAACTGACTTGATAGAATTACTGCTGAAGGCAGGCCAGGGAAATAAGATTTCCCTGGGCAGTGGATTTTCTCTAAACTGACTTAGCAGGTAGAAGGATTCTTTCTCAAACTGGATTCTAGGTGGACAGAGAGGGAAGCCCAAGGTACTCGAGCTGGGGACTCAGAGGAGCCTGACTAAAGTTTTGGTAAAGGAAATAGTCTTTGTCGCTCCTAAAAAAAAAAATGTTCATAGGTATGAAAGCCAGGGTTTATACTCCTATACTAACTTTTTTTTTTTCTTATCAAATATCTTAGTAGGTGTTGTATAAGAATTTTTATGTTAAAATCAATGAAGTATTTCAAATCTGATCTTATTTCCTGGAGACAGAGCACTGTAACTGACTCAGGTTTTATAACTTATAAGGTTTTTTATCTTCTGGGATTAGTTTGAGACCGTATCTTTAAACACTTCTACCATACAAGCAAGGAGTCTTAAAGAAGATTTGTATCCTGTGTTCCTGGGCACTGCAGAGCTGATCACTGAGCAATAATACAGCATTGTGAACACCCCCAGAGCCATGTGAAAAGCTGCAGTGTGCCAAGTCCTTTCAAAAACATTCCTAAGAAGGACAGTGTAAATTGTATGCAGCTTTCTCGAATCATGGAATAATTATGGAAATTGTTGTAAATACTTTTAGAATGCCTCTAGTTAGATATTAGTGGGCTTTTTTCTCAAATAACTCAGAATTCCATGGAACCAACTTTCTGCTTGCAATTTTATATAATGAACTCAATTAGGTTCTGTGAAACACCAAGCACCAAAGTTTCCTTCATAGGTCTAAGTATTGCAATACGTAAACATTATTCACAAGGGAAGAAAACAAAAGGAAAAGATAATAAAACAGAGAGAGGCAGCAATGTGTGGTTGGGAATGAGCCAGAGGAGATAATCAAAAATAGTAAAAAATGAAAGAAAAAAATACCATGATCCCCAAAATGTTAAACAGCTAAGAAATGAATAGACTAATCTTAGAATATGTTTTCCCTTAAGAGCAGGGACATCTAAATGTCACCTTATCTTAGAGCTTAGTATGATGGAGAAAGGGAAATAAAGCTTGGGTCCTGTTCTTGATAATGGAGTAGCCTTTGTAGAGTAAAGTTCAAAAGGTTGACTTTACTCTTTGCACAGCACTTTGTGGTAGGTAGAATTCTGATGTGCCCCAATTTTTCTACCTGTTGCTGTATGTACCCTCTATATTCTTCCAGGTGGGTGGAACCTGGAAATATGATGAAATACACTCTTATGATTAGGTCCCATTGGTAGGTAGATTCTAGAGGGAGTCAAATGCTTACAGAAAAGGTACAATGGGGCTAAGAACCCATTCTTTATGGATTTTTGCTGAGGCCACAGAGAAGATAGCACTAGTGAGTGGGTAATTAAGATTTTTGTACAAAGCTCCCAGTCTGCATGGTGAAAAACAGAGGGCAGCATTCAGAATAACCATAGGTGTTGAAAATTGGTTAGGAATCCCCAAAAAAGGAGAAAAACAAGGAATGGAAGCCCCAAATTCTGTTTATAAAGGCTGTACAATTCTCTGTCTGACCTCAGAAACATGAATGCATGAGAAAGACCAAGTTATACACAACAGAATTAAACTGAGATGTGAACTGCTGTTTAAGAGAGTTTGTGGTGGAAATCCAACTGTAAATATGTATGCACCTAATGCTTCCATTACACAAAGCAACAGTTGTCAGAATTAAAGGAACAAAAGGACAATTCTATAACTGTAGTTAGATTATAACACTCCTCTGAGCTATTGAAAGAATGATTAGGACAAAAATATACTAAAAGATAGATGATCTGAACAATACTATCAATCACTTTGTAACAAACTACTTCAAATTTAATGGTTTCAAGCAACAGAATGTGTTAGTCACAGTTCAGGAGGTCAGAAATGCAAATGAGTTTTATTGGGTCAAAAATCAAAGAGTTAGCAAAGCTGTGCTTCCTTTGGAGGTTCTAGGGGAGAATCTATTTTCTTAACTTTTCTAAATCTAGATTTCCCTTGCATTTCTTGGCTAAAGGCCCTTCCATGCTTCGTTAAAGCCCAGCAGCTTAGTATGTTTAAACACTTCTAAGTTTTTGTCATCAGACTGTCTTTTTTTTCTCCTTCTCATCCTACTCACTCCCTCTTGTAAGCATCTTTGTGATTCCATTGGGCCCAACCAGATATTCCAGGATAATTTCCCCATCTCAAACTCCTTAATTTAATCATAGCTGCAATTCCCCTTTGCCACATAAGGTAACATATGCGTGGGTTCTGGGGATTAACATGTTTACAGCTTTGAGGCCTTCACTCTATGTGCCACAACCTACTTGATTATGGAACACTATGTCCCACAACGACAAAAAACATGTTTCAAGTGTGCATGGTAAATTCACCAAGATGGCCCACATAATGGGTTATAAAAAAGACTCAATAAATTTAAAAGAATTGAAACCATACAGAGTATGTTCTGACTTCAGTGGAATTAAATTAGAGATGATAGCAGGTATCTAGGAACTCTCCAAATGGTTGGAAACTATACACTATACTTCTAAGTAACCCATGAGGCATAAAAGAAATCACAACGGAAATAAGAAAATATTACAAACTGAATGATAATGACAGAACATATTGAAATTTCTGGAATATGACTGAAGTAGTACTTACAGAATAAGCAATACTTTACATGCTTATATTTTTAAGAAGTCTAAAATCAGTGACTTAAGATTCAGACAGTAAAAAAAATCAATAACCAAGAGAAAAATAAATCCAAAATACGTAGAAGGAAAGAAATTATGAAATAATTTTTACTACAAAACGAGAGCTCAAAACACAGAAAAAGGAGTTCAGGGAAAATATGTTTTGATAGCAAAAGGTGAGGAAATATATACTATAGATGCTTAGGAGAGAAGTGGAAGGGAAAAATAATAAAATCACATGAATGAAGGCACACAATGCAGAATAGTTTTTAGGTGGCCTTGGGCCAACCTAGTTCTCCCTTCCTTTCTTGTTTGTAATTAAGAATAGCTAGAGAATGAGATGGAAATGCAACATCCTGAAATAAGGAGAAATGGCTTGGAACAGCTTTGATTCTGTCCCAGTCCCCAGAAACAGGGTGTCCCTTAATGTTTTAGCCCAGTGGGTCACATTATCCCAGGGAATGAGACCCAGGATGGACTGTTTTTCAGGGTCCCTCCACTAGCAGAGCATGTCCAAATGAGTCTCCATCCATCGTAGGTGGCTCTCCTGAGACTTGGGGAGCTGGTTCACAATGAACCCAAGGCTTCTGTTGTTTCTTGCTGCTTATCTGTGAGGAATAAACCCACTTCATGTAACTTGTATGTGTGTGGGGGGTTCTGCCTCACTGGACTCAAGCAAATTGACAGCCAGTGCACAATGAACCTACTTCCCACATATCAAAAGCAAAACAAAGGAGAAGAGACATCACTAAAAAACAAAGTAAGAATCATTTGATTAGAAATGAGAAATGAAAACAAAATAACAGCCTTACAAAAAGTTATGTTATAAAGGGGAAAATGGTAGATATGGAAGATGAAAGAAATTTAACATGAGTAATTTAATATCTCTGGAGGAAATAAGCAATGAAATAAATAATGAGATAACTTTATATGAGAAGGCATGCTTATACAATTATTGATATTTGACATTATTCAGTTTCTGAGTGAATAGAAAAATCCTAAACAGTTTGTGTCCCCTAATATATTCTTGCAACACAACACAGAACACTTCACCTCTGATCACCAAAGTACGTGTGGATTTCTCCCCATCAGCAATCGATTGTGCTGCAGATTCTGCAGATGATTATTTAGTGGACACCAGCTGTATGTCATATAATTCAATTCAATTCTGACACAATTTACCTGGAGATAGCATCAGTACTGCAGGACTGCCCCAGTTCAGACATCAGTCACAAACACGGATTATGAGCTGTGCCTCTGACCAACCAGCTATAAATGAGGCTCCCAGAACCCCCTACTCAGGCTTGGTTAATTTGTTAGAGTGGCTCACAGAACTTAGGGAAGCATTTTACTTATGTTTATCAGATTATTATAAAGGAAAGTACAAAGGATACAGGTGCACAACCAGATAGAAGAGAGATACAGGGTGAGGTGTAAGGGAAGGGATGAGAAGCTTTCATGCCCCCTCAGGGTGTGCCATCCTCCAGAAACATCCATGGTTTCAGCTATCCAGAAGCTCTCTGAACACAGTTCTTTTGGGTTTTTATGAATGATTCATTATATAGGCACAATTGCTGAATTATTGGCCTCTGGTGATTGGTTTAACCTTTAGCCCTTCTCCCCTGCCCAGAGATTGAGGGCTGGGGCTGAAAGTCCCAACTCACTCATCATGCCTTGGACTTTCAGGGGACCAGTCCCCATGCTGAAGCTACCTGGGGCTGCCAGTCATCATGTTAGTGTACAAGACACTCTTCTCACTTCAGAGATGTCAAAGGTTTTAAGCGCTGTATGATAGGAAACTGTATAAAGACCAAATATCTACTTATCATATATCTTATTATAAATCACAATATCGCACTGAGTTAAGATAGCAAAAGCTTTTTTTAAAATATTGATCTGAGTCTTTCATTTCTGAGTTTAGATGGTGAGAGTTCAAATAGCAAAGGTTGAGACAGAAGAAATACTTGTGCATGTGTGTGCATATCTATATAAGAAAAGTCTTCCAGAAACAAAATGAGGGTTGAATCTTTAGGTTGACCAGACATACTGAGAAAAAAGAAAATAACCAAAAAACCCATCAGCAATCAGAATGATGGCAGGTACTGGTAGAATTGATTAGTTTCAAAAAGAAAGGAAGGATCATTTTGCAACCAGACAAAAAAAGATCAAGCCACCAGTAGAAAACAAAATCAGGCTGGTGTCAGACTTCTTCAGAACCAAAATTGTAAGTTGGTTAAATTCTCATAATAGAAGCTGAGTGCTTTAAGCAGACTCATATGGAAGATTATTTTCATTAAAAGATTTCAGTGTATAGTTTTTGGATGCTATGATTCATTTCCCTAAACTACTTCCCCCTCCATACACACACACAGATGTATTTCTTCTAGATTTTTAAAACTGCAAAAGGAGAATACTATCATATGGCAGTCATGTAATGCCCTCTTCTGGCTATACATCAAAGCACTACATTTGCTATGGCATGTTCTGGAAATTTGCATGTTCTTTTAGCTGTTTTCTATACATTTATTTTGTAGTATCTGTTTCAATAAATTTTAGTTTTCAATACTTATCAATTTTAATAATGAATGTTTTGATGATGTAGGCATTCATCTGCTTTAACAACTTAGTTTAATAAACACGGGTAGGCTAAAATATATTTTTTCGTCAAAAAGTTCGGACTCTAGCTGGGATATTTTTACTGACAAAATTAACCAGCTTACCACATTTTATATTTACGACATTTATATTTACCACATTCTATATATACTACATTTTTGAAAAGACAAAATGATAGATAAGTTCTAAAACAATGTGGCATATTCATAACTGAGTTTCTGCTTCCACATACATGTAGGGGCTAGCTAAATGATTTGTGTTGCTTCCTAATGAGGACAAACTACACTGTGATATTATTTTACCATTCCTGTTCTTATAGTTTCCACCCAAGTGTTTCTGTGCTTTATTGTATCTTTCATCATAAAGGGATTTAGAAATAAAATATAAAGCCAATAATAATGAGTCTATTCTTAAAACCAAATATTTATAATTTGAAGAAGTAGTTTAATGATTTTGTGTAATGTCACCATTTAGAACAGTGATTATTAATCCTCAGGGCCACATCAGGATCACTTGAGAATACAGTGGGAAGAGTAAATTTTCTCCAGTAATGAAATGTGTGATATTTTCCAGATGTGTTAGGACATTTTACTGGCCTTATACTTATAGACTATATAATTAATCAGCCAAATCAGGACACTTTTGAGGGTAAAAGAATCATTATTATATAATCATTAAGAATTAATTATGTCAAGATACTGACCTAAACTGGGGCTTTTGCAGGCCAAGCTGAAGTTGAGTCAACACATTATATTAATATAACAATTAGAGTAATGGGAAAATGAAAAAATTCTCTTTTTACTTCTATTTTCAATGGCATACCTCATCTTCAATTTACAAGTTCTGTTGTATGGCAAATAGAAAGCCTTATACTCTCCTGGGAGCCAGATGACTTAGCTTTAAATCCTAATAAATTATTTAAGTTTTCCATGCCTCAGTTTCCTCATCTGTAAGTTGGAAATAATATTAGTACCTACATTATAGTAGTGTTCCAAGGATTAGAGAGTTAATAATTACTAATAATTACTGAGAGTTAATAATACACATACTATTAGTATGTGGCTTACATTCAGAATAGCATCTAGAACATAATAAACCTTATTTTTAATAATAAAATTATTAGTTTCTGAGAGAGTATTAATATATTTGAATTTTTATAAAGATATTAGAATTTTAGGGTTTGCACGTTTTATTTCAGGAAAGTGGCTTTTAGGACAGCCTCTAAGATGGCCCCTATCTCCTCATAGTTTTTGTGCTGCAGTACAAGCCCCGCCTCTTGAGTGTGGCCTAGACCTAGTGACTCATTCCCAATAAAGCATAATTAAAAAAAAAAAAAAAAACAACAGTAAAAGTGATGAGATGTCACTTCTGTCACTTAAGTTACCAAAAGACTGTGACTTCCATTTTGCTCTTCCTCCCTTGGTATTTCTGTCTTTCTTTTGGATCCTTGCCTTAAGAAGCAAGATAACACGTGAACGGTCTAGGGAGAGGCCCCTGTGGCAAGAAAATGACGAGGTCTCTGGCCCAAAGTCAGTGAAGACCTGAGGCCTGGCAGCAGACATTTCTATCAGCAAATGGCAATTTTAAAATATTCATAGAATCAAAATTTAAATAGTAGGAAAATGTGATTTCTTCAGTTTCCATATCAAAAAAAATCTAAGTAGTCTCTGTCCAAATACAATTTCATTAGAATTTCCAAATTTATAAACAGCTCAGGTTGTGCTCTGAAATGAGGAGATGTTCAGTTATAAATCCAGGCTTGATAGAGATTCTGGGATGGAAACTAAACTGAATGCATTTTAAGAATATAACCTTAGAGCTTCATGTCAGTTTTACCACTTGATGGAGCTATAATGCCAGATAACACTTAAAAACCTATTATATTTTCATGGAACCATTTTTTTCTTTTGAGAGCTGCAGAAAAAATGTGTAATCCTAATCATTTTTTGGAAGTGATCTTGTGATTACGCTCCACCCTCACCAAGCAGCTTCTATAATGTGTCAAAGAGAAAACTTTACATAATCTTGGGCCGTTAGTGGAGGATAATTAAATTTGCTTATTTTATTTTTCATATAGTAGATTTGAGGAGGATATTCCTGGGGAAGTATATACATATTGGAAAGACGTAATCTATTGAAATTTTAAGGATGGCTATCAGGTCTTCTACATATCTGCGTGTGGCTATTATAAGAAGAAAAACTGAACCTTCTTGGAGAACAAGGCCTGTGAAAGTTTAAGTCAAGCAGTAATAGAGGAAGACTGATTCTGTAAGGAACAAAGAAGTCATAAAAGGTGGAAGTGTTGGTCACAGGCAAACATAAAAGATTCGTACTCTAATCCCTATGAACTCTATTTCCCATTAGACCTGTTATATTTGCTAAGCATAAGTCCCTAATCCCTTGTCTAAACACTTTGGGTCCAATCATGCATTAGAATTAAGTGTTTAGATTACAAAATAAGAATACAGTATTTATATCATATGCAGTAGTACATAACATTCTCAGCAATGTCTGAGCTAGCACATCTTCAACAAACACGCTGTTGCAGGCTAGATTCCACAAGAGTCAGGTTTGGGATGCAGATTCAGGAAAGGATGTCTATTAGGATGTGCTCTTGGGACCAAAACTTGGAGAAGGGAGTTGAAGGAGGCAGGACTGGGCAGAGGGAATGTTCATTCAATTTCAATGAAGACTTTTGGAAACTCCATGGGAAGATGTTAATTTGGTACAGTTCTTCAGAGTTGTCCCAAATTGGGGCGAGGATGATGCACTTTCCTTCCCCCATGTGATAAGTCATTGGATACAAGCTATAAACGGAAAAAAGGAAACCTTCTGGCAGGCTTCCCAGCAGCCGAGGGAATAAATCTTTCGTTCCTGCTGTGTGACCCAGGCCACCTCCTCAAGATTTCTGAGCTCCAGCTCACCAATTCTTCTCAGGAAAAGGTCACTAAATTTGTCCATAACCACCAAAACTTGGCAAGAGGGTACAAGGAGGTGCCGAGTGAACTGCTGAGTATGAAACATATTCCTCCTTGTCCCTTTTGTGTTACCTTCTCCAGGTGAAAAGAGCCAATTCCTCCCACCAAAATGCTAGTTCCACTTCTTGCCTTCTGTTCACTTACAGGGAGCGTGAAGTATCTAAGAGGCAGCCATTAGCTTGTAGTTCCACAGCATGTCGCTGTGTATCCTGGTGGAAATGTCCCCTTTGGGGGAAGACAACTCAGAGTTACTGCGACAGGAAGCACAAAGTCACCAAGTAACTTACTGAGAGTGGTGGTAAGCGAGGTTAATTCTGCTTCTACATTTCAGTTCCTGGACTCATGAATTCTACTTACTGGGAACCTAAAATCATATAAAGGTCTTTGAATTCAAGTGGACAGTGTCCTGGGGGAATGGTGTCACTGCAAAGCATCTCCTCTGACCTGGCCCTTCAGCACTGCCTTCAGCAGGCCATTCCATCGTGCCTTCTGGGCAGTGGCGTCTGAATGGCACAGTATGTAGCATGACT